AAAACAACAGCGACTGCGAGAGCTGGCAAAATGGTGGGGAGAGACTCTATGGAATTCTCAGAATTAATGAAAAACGGAACACAAAAGCAACCGTATGCAAAGACGAAATCTAAACATGAGGGTGTTGGGTTGTTCAGAAAAGGCATGACGAACACTGAACATGAGATCGAGCAAACCATAAAGGGGGGATACAGTCCACCACCATATTTGCACAAGGAACATTTGTAGTTTGGTTTATTTGTCCAAGTTATCGGCGACGAAACGACAATTTTTGCATTTAACAATCCTCATAATGACCTAACGAAAGCCCTGCTATACCATAGGGCCACATTTCATCATACTGTCAATTTCCGGTGTGCGAAATCACATAAACGCACATAGGCATTAGTTGCTCCAATTCAAACAGGTACATTTCCGTGAACCACTTGCGCAGATAAATCATCCACCACGATCAATTGTTTCTTTATTAGGGTTGGTCTGTGCTTTTCGCTATCCCTTGCATATCAGATCGAAGAGTTGTATACCGCAAGAACAATACTTCCAAATAATCTTTGCTTGTGACTATTTCCTGTGTTACATGGTAAGCAGTGATCTTCTTGGCAGCGATTGCGGTGGTGGTGGCGTCGTCGTTGTTACCACCACCAAAACTCTTGTACCTGCATTTTACCTGTATATCTCTGATAGATCTCTACCCGCAGCTGCTGGGTAGAAAATTTACCTGCGGAGTGTTCGCTAGATACCTCTATTCTTTGTTGTTCCACAAAAAGAAACAGACAAAAAAGACCCCTTCTTCTTCCCATAAGCAGCAAAGAACGGCAGAAAAACACCTACACTAAATCAACTGGTAGGTACGATTGTATGCGATTTAGTTCGATGGCTGGAATGAATCTGCTGTGGAGTGGTTACCTGCTGTAGACCTTATTTCTGTAGATGACTATTTAAGTGTGTGTGACCTCTTCTTTTGGTTTGGTGATGCGTCGATTCACCACCCCAAAAACTGAACAAGGATTTAAACATCATTATCGCCACATGAACAGAATAGCATAGGTCGGAGGGATGGCTGAATTAATACGACGGCATGGTCTCTTGTTTATTGTTGCATGGATATATGGGCAACCGAACTAACATGCCATCTCTACAGTCTCCACCGGAAAAGAGTGGGTTCGCATTTGCGTCTGCGCAGTATTTTAAAACACGTTTTCTTGGTCGTAATGGGGTTTAAGGTTGGGTAGCTTCATAATGTGTAGTCGACCACCTCCTCCTTCCACACACACGCACACTTGTGCACACCCTCTACAAATGCTCGTAGTCTTACGGAGTGTAGCGGCAACGGAGTTGGTGGCAATGATGGGCATTGTTCATAACGATCCCTCTTTGTGTGCTTGGGATTTTTAAATTTTCTGCGTTTTTTGTCTGTTTGTCTTTTATGAAATAAATAATTTCGTTGTTTTTAACGGCCTTTTTGGTTGAAGGTGGTGGTGTTGGCGGTATCACTGGTAGCTTGCCTCGCACAACTGAAGGTTGCTTTGGGTTGGGATGTGTTTCTTCTTATTTGACATGTTGTGTGTAGATACCATAGGAAGATCGGTAGGTAGGTGGTTGGTTTTCTTGGAATTACTGATGCTGGCTGCGTCGATTGGCACTTTTGTTTTTAATATTGGACATAAATAGGCACATTTGTAGTATGTACACATATGTACCTTTAGTGTCTCATGATCACATATAGAGTTAAAAGGTACGATTTCTCTAAATCACCTCAAGTAATATGGGTGTTATGACAATATATATGTATATATACGGATTCCTCGCGTTAAATGTATATAATCTGAACATGTTGTTTTCATTTGGGATACAGTTGAGCATTAGATATACTTTAGAGGTAGCCAGTTTTGTACTGATCAGCCAAAGCGATCGAACACACCAAAACTGTTCAAATACTTGGTCCAAAAAATACGCCGTCGACGCTCATGATGTCAAGCAAATAAAATCATACAATTTATGGCGAATGTGAGACTGATGCCGAATGCGAAAACTGAACACGAATTAGCTATCACAGCTTAAAGTTAATACAAAATCAACTATATGTATTTGTATTTACTCTCGAAGCGGTCGTGTGTGTATAGGGTGAACTAGTACAGCGAGGGGAGGTAGGGAGGGAATACACACTTAATTTAAGCCATGACAAGCCAAAATCAACAGATGGGTGGTTTGTGCGTGGGTTGTGGGTGTATCGGCTGCTCTACGTTTAATCGAATCTAGAAATCCACATTCAACATCAATTCGTGGCTATGAAATCAACATCGAGTCGTGCTGGTCATTTCGTAGCACTTTTCGTCGGTTAATTATGGAGCCCTTAACGTCACACACACATATTTATATACTGCAATAAAATATGGGCGGCAGGTGGTATTTTAGGGGATTTTTAGAAAACACAGCCACAAGTAAAGTAACGTCTGACCAATCTTCCCATAAAGGCAATAACAATAAAGCATGACTTAGTTTTTTCGTATGAAGCATACTAAAGAAGATACCTCTTGGCATCTCTTGGCTGTACGGTCGCCGATGTGCCATGTCGTCGTTGCTGATTATCGTCATCATAATAATGACGATTGTGTCTGGCGTTGTTTTTTTATTTTGGGTGGGTAGGGATGTTAGTTTTTGGCTGAAATTTATTTATTGTTTTTGGTCGGCAAGGTAAAACAATTTTGTGTTAAATATTAAAAAGTAGTTTTTCTACTTTGGGGTGATGGAGCATGAACAGAAGTAACAGGCAGGGGCATAGGTGCTTAGGTAAATCTAATAAAAATGTGGGCGGTTTTCAAACATCGGTTGATTTTTCAAGGTTAGTGTTTCAATAGAAACATAAGCTAAAATCAATATTCCCATCTGAATGCAGCAGCTTGACAAACAAAGATAAAGAAGATTCCTTAAATATGTGTCCAAGTGTTCGTTACAAGGAGGTCACCTTTGTTGGTGGCAGGTGCACCCCTATAATTTATTTTCTGTTGGTCTTTAATTTCCTCCATTAAAAGCATCTTGCAACAGAGTCGCCATACAGGTTGGTAGATGGGCTACCGTTCGGGTATACTAACAAACACCCCTTAGTTTCGTCCATTTTTTTGCCTCATCTTCAGGAGACAACAGTTGTTTTCGTGCAGACAATGAAAAACACAAAGCAACAAAAAGTAGACGAGCGAACTGCCACAACAACTGCAAACCTGAAATCTCATTATCCTGGCTTTGTTCGTTCCATTATCCTCCAATTACTTGAGAAAGCAACATGTGCTAAAATTCCCAGGCATTTCTAGATTTTTGTTTAGGGGTGGTTTTACGGACGGCTGTCATTGATCGTTAAAAACCTGTTGCTGTTGTTGTGATCATGGCGACCATAGCTAGAGTACTCAAATGCCCTCATTGGGGTAACAAGTGTATTGTTTGTCGCATACATACACACTTATATGTACTTTCAAATTGACAGGTCCTGCAGCGTGAGTTGAGGGTAGTTTGTGCTGCTGCTTCTTCTCAAATGACCGTTTTACATTTAAATGTGGATACACACACACGCACGCACCCTTGTATATGAAATAGGCGAACAGCTGCATAAGGGGCATAATTTCAGATATACATTGTGTTGGTATCTCCTCTCGACAAACTGTTATATGCCATGCCTTTTAACATAAAGTAAACTGTGAAAAAGTACATAGATTCCAACTTCAGCGGTGGGTGGATTTTCAAGCAACACAACACACCCGTAATCCATTCGCACACAGCCATACGCATATAATTTATTAATAACATTTTTGCTCTTATAGACGGTATTATTTGGTGATGATCATCAGCACTTCTTTACAAAACTGATCAGTCTTTGCCATTATTAAGGTAGGGGCATTAAGATGGTGGTTTCAACACAAGCGACATAACATTAATACACCAACGCTCGTCAATAGCAACAATGACAGTCTTACAAAAAAATATCCACCCATTATAGTCCCAGACACCCCCAAAAGTCGTGGTAGATTAAAAAAGACAACAACAGCACAAAAGCCAATGTGTTTAGACATCGTCGTTAAAGTCCCCCAATGCCCATCAACGAGCAGGCAAATTGCGTAGAGAGCAACAATACTGATAAACACAGCCGATGGGATCATAAACACCACTCCCCTCTCAACCGTGGCTACAATCTTCGTAATGATAATATTGTCGGCAGCGATGATGATGATGATCTCCAACACCCAACAACCGGTTCTTTTTGGGTTTTTTCTTAAACATTTTGTTTGTTGTGTGGAGTCACTGTGGAGTGCTTCAATCTTCATCTCCCCAGACTGACAATGGCTTTGTTGGTGTTCTGCATTAAAAAACAACAAATATTGCCGATCTTTGTTCATATTTTCTTTGGGTGTTTCGTATGCAGGCATCGAAGATTGCTAACGAAAATCGCATGCGTCTGTTTACCCCGCTAGCCAAAGCTTGTGGGACCACATGAAAAAACTCCATAAATTGGTGTGGGGAAGAGCGTCAAATGGTCGATGTCGACGTCGTCATTTAAATTTACGCGCCCATTTTCAACCCACACATACTCTATTTACTGTGTATGAATGTGCTCTTTGGGTTGTCAGTGCTGTTGCTGGTGTATTTTGTTTCATTTTGAGGCGGATGTTTACAACGACACAGCTCAAAGCGATCAAAAACATGAACAACCATGACACCATGTTGTCAATGATGGTACAATTCTTCTTTGTCGTTCACCCCACATTCCGAATTTCACCTAACTCCAAAAGTTTACTTGAGAGATATACACCCCTCATATCTCACAGCAAACACTTTCCGACCTTAAAACCGCTAATTGTAGTTATGAATCTAGTGGATGCAATTGCTCTGAATTAAAATTTGTGAGCCCGTTATGCGCATACAAACATTTATTTTTGCATTCGAATACGAACATTAATAAAGTTCTGGGATTTTTAATTTATTTGTTATTTCTCTTTGCAGAAACAAGGGATTGGCAGCAGCAACAACACTTGTGGGCAAAGTTATAAAGATTTTGGTAAAGCATCAACAGCGTTGACGCTATGGCAACAGTAATACCACCGACCTCAAATGTAGAGGCCGCCTATGAAGACATGTTTAAAGAAATCACAAGAAAATTATATGGAGAAGAGACCGGAAATGGCTTGCATACATTAGGCACCCCTGTAGCACAGGTGGCGACCACAGGACCCACAGCGGCACCAGAAGGTGAACAGAGATCATTTACAAATTTGGTAAGTGTGTGGTGGTGGGACCATATAGAGAAGCCGTTCCTCAATCGGTATTTATTTGCATTTTTCTCATTTGTTGTCTTTGGTTTTTAGCAAATTGATCGTTCTACTCAGCCAACTATTGAGTATGAACACAATGCGGGCAACGTGGTTGGCACCCCAACTGCAGGTTCGACAACATCAGCAGCTGCGGCAGCTGCCATTGCGGCCGCAACAACCCAGCAAAATGCCACAAATGTGGTGATTCAGCAACAACCCGAGGGCTCTGTCGTCGTTACCACAACGACAAGTGCAGGTGGCAATTTCAAATCGGAAGATCATCTGAGTACTGCATTCGGTTTGGCAGCATTAATGCAACAGAATGGATTCGCAACAACCACCGGAACAATTTTAAGCAGTCAAGCCATAAATAAGGTCATAACCACGGCTGCTGGTAGTCAGCAAACACAACAGCAGCAAATGTCAGCTGGCGATCAACAGCAACAGAATTGGAATGAGGGCGGCCAGGAACAACAGCAGCAGCAACAACAGTCCCAATCGGCGCCTACTACCCAAATCGTTCAATGGACAACAACTCCGAGCGGTAAACTTCAAAGTTATTCCACCACAACTGCACAGCCTCAAACTCAGCAGCAACCACAACAGCCGCAACAACAGGTCTCAACTCCTAAGTCCAAGTAAGCCAAGTGTCCCAAAAATGTGGACCGACAAGTAGAATTTTTCTTTGCAAAATGAACTCAAAACTAAGACGAAAAGGACAACTGCTCCTCAGATATTAAAACTATACCACCCATGGTTTAGTTGGCCAATTTGATAACTTATTGTCCCAACATAAAAATTGAGGGCCATTTTCATTGAAAAATCCTATTTAACATTTTCTAAAAAGTAATAAACACCAATCTGATAACAAAAAATTCACATTTCTTTCACAGAAATAAAAATCGAAATGACCCAAGTTCTTCGCCATCCAACAATACGGCCGAAGTCATATACACTAGTCCCACAGCGTCAGGCAATAACATAAGTCAACAGCAAACCCCTCAAAGCAGTGCAAACACGTCTAGTTCATCGACCACCTCCACAAGTTCTTCGGGGGGTAGTTCCGGAGGCAGCAGCAGCCGGAAAAAGTCCCATCATAATCAAAACAACCAGAACAGTAACAACAATGGGCAGCCACAGGTGCAAAAACGATACGCATGCACCCATTGTCCCTATTCGACGGACCGCCGAGATTTGTATACACGTCACGAAAACATCCACAAGGATGAGAAACCATTTCAATGCTACGCTTGCCTCAAGCAATTCAATCGTGCCGATCATGTCAAGAAACACTTCCTCCGAATGCATCGCGAAATGCAGTACGACATTAACAAGACTCGACGCCATGTGCCGTCGAGCAGTTCGAGCGGTGGTCATCACCACGGCGGCGGCCGAAGCAATGTCACCATCACAGCGGTAAATACTAGTCCTAGTAATTTACATAATGACGGCAATGCCATTGAACAAAAACCTATAATCTTCCAGACACAGGCGAATGTCAATTTGGAACAAGCCTTCTTGGAACAACAGCGTCAGCCCACGTCGTCAAGTCTCAGTATAGCAGAAACAATCGAGGCTGTGGCCACAGCTACCGATGTACCACTACCCCAGCTAAAGCAGGAGAAAAACGACGATGGAACATTAGTGGGCGGCCAAACAGCCAGTGTGAAGCCAAAGAGGGAGAAACGTTTCACATGCTGTTATTGCCCTTGGTCTGGTGCTGACAAATGGGGCTTAAAGAGGCATTTGAATACCCATACAAAACCATTTGTATGCCTTTTGTGCGACTACAAGGCCGCCAGATCGGAGCGTTTGGCAACACACGTACTGAAGGTGCACAACAAGAGGGCATGCAACAAATGCTCATTCCTAGGAGACTCTTTGGAGGAATACCAGCAACATTTGAATGAAGTGCAGTAAGTATTAACTCTCTGACGGAGGAGGACCATCTAACAATTCTCTATTGCTCTCCTTCTCATTATCTTTTTTCTTCCCATTGAAACTAAACACAAAGTCCGACAGCACCATCGTCTCGTAGCACAAGCTCTTCAAACAATACCAATAACACAACTACTAACAATAACTCCTCCAATAATCTGAATGTTCTGCGTACCATTGGTAACACCCTAGGAAACAATAACCAACTAAACCAATTTCAGAATAACAATTTTAGGTAAATACCGATACTAGTCCAAAAGTAGGGTGTTCCTGTATTTTTCCTTGTTTTTGTGACCTTGAAGAGTCCTCCGTTTAATGCTCTCTTTAAAATTTTCTCCAGTGTTAACAACGTCTCGACAACAGCAAATGGAAATTCGGTCACAATCTATACCACCACCACAACCGATAACCAGGGTGGTAACATAACGGCAGGAGGTCCCTTGCAAGAGATCATTGTAAATCCCACATCAATGGTGGGCTGGCGGCTGAGTGCTAACGGGTCTTTGATACCCCCTCATGATCTGTTAACAGGAGGTCTGCCAAATGCAGCAACGCAGAAACGGGGATCAGAGCGTTTATTTCAGTATCTTGAAGCGGATGGAAGTGATCCGGAGGACTATGCGCGGTAGACATCATTTTGTTTTCTGATAAATATATTTCGGTTTTGTTTTTTGTTGCTGTAACCCTACTGTTGCTCCAACATGGCCCATTTTCTTTTTTTTATATTTTCATTTGCTCTTAACTCCATCCCTTCGTTGCTTTGTTGATTCATTTGGTTTCTTCATTTTGTTTTTTTTCCGTTCCTTACTGTTTATTTGAATTCAGTTTTGTTACTATTCCTATCGCACCGAATTCATATTTATTGACCCTTTGTTTCTCTACTTGCAGTCTTTTGAAAATGGACGCTATTAGTCGCAACACTGCTTCTGTCGCTCAGGATTTTCATAAGGCGGGAGGCGTGCAAGAGTTGAAACTTCCAGCGAATCATCAACTCCTGTTTAATAATAAACTGCCCTCACAGTGGACGACTAAAGAAGCAGCTGCGTTGTTGCAAAGTCTAAGCAATGCCAACAACTTAAGCTATGTCTACCAGCAGAAACAGCGTTCCAAACATGCACATCATCAGAATGGATTCATGCGCCAACGGCAACAGTCCCATGGCGACGACAGCGAGAATACACCATCGTCGGATACGTCGACAATCAGCTTAAGCGATGACTTGTCACCATTGAAGGTGGAACGACCGAAAGCGTACGGCCAACTTACACCAGGCGAGCAGAGAAAACTTATCTCGTCGACATTCTTACAGGACTCATTTTCGAATTCTTCGGAACATCATGGTCTAGACAGCAGCAGTAGCAGCAGCAACAACAACAGCCATCATTATCATGATGATCAAGAGAATCAAGAGCAGCTTATTAGATCGTCTCCCGCATACAAAACCAATAATAATTATTATATGAACAACAACAATAATATTAATAATAACAACAACAATAATAATCTCAACAAAATCAAGTCGTCTAATAGAAATAATAACAACACTAACAATAACAACACCTTGAATAACAACAATATCCAACAGCAGCATCGTGTCGATCTGCACAACAAGGAAAACAACAACAACGTAACATTCCTTACACAGATGGAATTCCAAAATCTCAATAAAATTGGTACACAATTCCAAAATTATGTCAAAGACATTATAAGCAAATACTATGCAGCCGACACGCCAGTCATGTTCCCCAATATGCCCATACCAACGGCCACTGCTCAACAGAGTCAACAACGACAGGCCAGTCAAGTTTCGCCGAAACGTAAGCGTCTATTAAGCGAAACTGAGGAATACATAGAGTACTTGAAGAACAAGGAAGACATCACCTTAACCATAACACCCAAGCTAGTTGACAACAGCATTCAACAGCAACCACCACCACCACCTACACAGTACACAAAACCACCACTGTCGCCATTAAAGAGAGAACGTGATCTAGCTTCCGATTCCTATAGGAGGCATTCGCCCAAAAAGTCCATGATAGTCACATCCACTCCACAGGCTCCAAGTCAAAAGTCTTGCAAGAAATCGATATCCCAACTAGCCACCTTGTTGCCATTGTTGGCTGACGCTGCTTCACAGCAGCAATACTTAACGGCTCCCTTGGACTTTAGTAAGAAGTCGTCGGAACCTGTAACCACCCACGTCAAGCAAGAAGTAAATGCTAAGCCAGTCGTGCAGACTTTTTTACATTTGAACAACGACCCACCAGTTATTAAAGAGGAGCCCCAAGATCCAATAGAATCACTAACTCCACAGATAGCTAATGCTGTCGTCTCTACCCCTCCGCCTCCAGCAAATACACCCCCATTAAATTGTCCTTACTATGATAAACGTTCATCGCGCAAACAAGCACAGCCTAAGAAAATGCGTCTCTCACCAGATCTGGTTGTCGCTGCACTTCGAGATAAGTATCTAAATCGTATGGTCGATCGCATGAATAAAATGAGCTGTGCGGACTGCGTGAAAATGAGGAGAACTTCAATGTTGGTCTTCAACTACCACACAAAAGCCTCGTTATGCCTACATCGTCTCTGGAAACATGCAGAAAAGCCAACTAAGTGCAACAAATGTGGCGAGAAGTTTAGAAAAAAATTTAGTTTAATGTTGCACGTGATGCGGTCACATAAAAAGACCACAATCAAGGAAAATAAATGTGCAGTTATTTCTAATAGAAAGGATTTCGACCATTAAGTGGACAGCCCCTATTCACGCATTTCCTTGCCTAACATCCGAGTTCAAGTTTTTCACTTGCTGCTAAAGCTAAAGGATGTAATAGTCTCTGATTTTAGTTTCTCTACTCAAAGTTAAGCTCTGACACGTATTCGAAGACTCGATGCCGGAAACACAAAACTCCTAAATGTTGGGGATAAAGCCAATCGTAACGGAGTGTGAGCAATTTTAAAAATTTTCACATTGTTGAAATGTACTTTCAGTGAAACCCTATATCCTTCTTATGTTCATAAATTGGAGCTACATCAGAAATATATGTATAAGTAGACCCACATAAAATGTAGACGGCAGCGGGAACATTCCCATCCCAGAAGTTACCACAAATACGTATTGTATGTCCACATTTTTTAACACTAATCAGAACTTATTCCTATGTGAATTCGATGCATTTCCTGTATATACATACATTAATATATTTTACTATTTTTTGTTACATGGAAAATTGTATTATTTTATAGTATTTTTGCCTAGTTTGTACTTCAAATCCAATGAAATATGAATTGAAATTTGAATTTATTTTCAAAAGCCACAAATAAAAGTATTTATTGAACTTCGTTATTAATAAATATCCCCTTTCTTTGCTTCGGCATACTTGCCTCACTGACAACTACGTTTTAGTGTAAATGCCACAAATATCTACACACACACGCACACACATATAAATAGCATTAAAATATGCAAACGTGTGATTGCAGTATTGTGGCATTTAAGCAGAACTATACAGCACCCCTGTAATAGAAATTAGGCCAACGGGATAATTACATATATTCCGTGACATGTCTACATGGAAAACGATATGTTGTGTAAAAAAACGGGGATTTCAAAAGCATTTAAGTTAAATTTTAAGTTGTGATGTACCTGAAATATGATTTCGTCTAAAATTAAAAAAATACACCCTCTTTAATAAATATAAAACATTTTACTAGATATAAACAAATTAATAATTTAATAATTTAAGCCTTAATTTGCCATGTCCATGTTGTAGTCTAAGGTATTATATCGGTCTTGTTTCATTTCGTATTTTTGATAATTTAAAGCTTTAATTTTTTTATATTTATATTTATAAGTTACGAATAATTTTATACAGCTTAAGGCGTTCGAAACAACCCACACATAGATTAAGTCCAATCGTGGCTCTGGCACTACCCAATGGTCACAATCAAAAAGTAGCATCGTCATTCCCTCCTACCGAGAATATCGTTTGTAGCTGCTGTCAATCAATCTGCGCACGAGAGCTACGCCACAAAAAAAAAACACACACAAATGACATTATTCACAAATTACAAAGACATTTTTGATAAACTACGGAACAAAAAGTTTTAATGACTGAATGGAAATTAAAAAATATATAAACTTTAAGAAGAACAAAATCACGAAATATTTTTTATTTTTTAGTATAAAGAAAATTATATTTATGTATGAAGGTTTGAAGTGTTAAAAGTAATAAATTATTAATGAAAAAAGACAAAACCAAAACAAATTTTCGTATACAAAATTTCTACAAAAAAAAAACTTAAATATATTGACTTTTAGGCAAAGTAAAGAAAACAAATAGAAAATAATAATTTATGTTTCGTCTTTGGCAAATTAATTAAAATGGAAAGAAAATAGTTTATAAATAATTATTATAATTTGTTTAATTTTAGAAAATGATTATCGTCGATTCTTGCGTATGCATATATACATACAAACATATTTGTACTTGAATGTGTTTCCTTTGATTTTATTTTAAAATACTCATATACAACAACAAACAAACAAACGTATATTTCACAAAAAGTAAGAAAACTTCAATAAAAATAGTTAAAAAAAAACAAACATTGCATTTCATTTTGAATACGAGGGGTTTGAAATATGAAAATAGCAGACTATTGAATAAATTTTTAATGAACAATAGTAGGTTTTATCATCATTATTTTTTATATTGTGATTTCACCCACAAGTTGAAAACAAAATATCCCTGAAAATATCCTATACTTGCGGTTCTGATGGCTTATGACATTATCAGTCGGAATTCCCGTACCGGTCATTCCCAGAATTTTTCTATTTTTTTTTGACACAGGAATTTATCACAAAAAAAAGACTGGAAATGCCAAAATTATGTGTCGCAATATAATGTTAAATATAAATGAAGAATTACAATTTTCAACTCATTTCGGAATAAAAATACCAATTTCAGCCATTGAATAACAGCGATTCATAAAAGTGTTCACATAAAATGCCCCTTTACTAAAGTATGCTGAGGAATTCCACACGGAAGTTCATCTGGTTATTGATGTTAAGACAAGATATACAGCCTTATTCTGGATATTTGCTAGGGAGATATCTCGCTTGTAAAAAATTTTCGCTTTCACATTCTCGCCTTATTCTGAATGAATGGGGAGATGCAAAAAATGCGAGATGCAGATTCGAGTTTTCGAAAATGGTGGTTGAAAAAAAGATTCGTGTTGCCATATTGTAATTTAAGTTGCAATGTGTGTTGCCCCATTGTAATTTAATTGTGTAACATTTTTCAATATATTATTTATTGATTTTTGTTATTAAAAATTGTTACTTTTTATTGTTATTTACACTATATAGCAATACAAATGTGAAATATCAAGAATCCGCTGTATAAATGCTTTGTAATTAAAAGAAAATAAATTAAAGTTTGAAAATATGGCAACCTACAATATGGCATGTGAAACAGCTGTTCATTGTTTTGATGCAATTTGGTGCAACAACTACAACAAGATTATAAATAAAAGAACATTTTTAAGATGACAAAAACACAACGAATAATGGAAAGAAATCTGCTATTGAATTAATTAATTCAGTTTATTATTTCACTACATAATTGTGTGCCTTTTTATTTAATTTCGATATTTATTTCCCCAGATTCTTAAAGTGGCATGTTATGTTATGATTACGATAATTTAAAAAAAAATATTTTTTGTTCTTTCATAATTTTTATTTAAGTTTTTCACTGTTAAGCGGTTTTGGTTTTTCCATAATTTTTAAATTTTTTTTTTTTGAGAGACAGACCCTCACCCAAAATGTCTCTATTTCGCCTCCAAACTGCATCAAACTCGACTTAAATATTCCGTATTACCTTCATATATTCCTTGGCAATACTTGGTTCAGCAGGCATCGTTATCAATAGGATTTTCAATGGCATTTTATTGGTTGTTTTCCAGTTAAAAGTGTGCTTACTACCATTTATAATATTTTAAATCGTCATACAATAAGTATTGTGTAAATATTTTTCATAAAAATAGTAATTACTTATGTGTAGTCAACTCCCCTTAAATTTATTAGCGAAAAATTTCGCACAAAATTTCCTACTCCCTGTAATCCAGAATACCTAATTTTTCCCCAAAGCGGATTTTTTCGCTTTCGAACTTCATTCAGAATAAGGCGAAAGCGAGAATGCGAAAAAATTCACACAAAAATGTTGTTCAGAATAAGACGAAGGAAAAGAGCGAGTAAATTCACGTGGAATTGACATCCAGAATAAGGCTGATAATAAATAACCTGATAGCAGTGCTTTTAAAAGCAAAGATCCCCAACATGAAAATAGTATTTGGTCTGTTCCCGTACTGCAAGAATCAACTATTTTTGTCGATATCATAAAGGAAAATTTCGTTATTGTAGTAAAAAGTAATCGATTCTTGCAGTACGGGAACAGACCAATTATCTAATGCCATGTTCTGACGGGCATTCGTACAACGTAGTTCGCTCTCAAAATTAGGTACATGAATTAACCCGTTCATACATTATTCTTAATTCATGTCATTAGAGTTTTTTTTATTTCAAACTTTTTGTTTCTTGTTTTACATAAAAATGTTAACATACTTGCGTGAATCACATATGGATCTAAATAGAAAAAATAATTCTCTTTCTCCTGACTATAGTATGAACCTATATCTATTTACTTTTAATTCATGTTTTCCATTTTTTCCGAAATATTGTTGCCATGAATAAATTTTTATATTTTCTCAATTCAAATGTGACATTTAAAAAATTGGAGAATTTTTTTTGGGTTTCCCCACATTTGTTTCTCGTTTTGTACGCTAATTAGAACAAAAGGGAATGAAATGCATATAGCATTATGTAGATTACAAAATTTACTTCCTTCTGCATATATAAAAACTAGACGATTTGTTACTTTTCATTCATCATTTTCAATTTTACTGAAAAAGTTTGAAAATTTCATAAATATTTTCAAACTGTCAAAATTAATTTATTTTCGATAAATACTCTCAAATGTTAGGGATGGGACAAAATTCTTGGTTATTCAGAGAGTGATTCGAATTGAACAAGGTATAAAAGTCGGTGTTCGCTCAGAAAATTTTGTATGGGGAACTAAGTAATTACTTCATAATTAGGGGTCGAACAAGAGAATGAGAGAGCATAACATTGATTCAGCACATTTATCGAATAATAAAGATGAGTCTATTATTGAGAAAATTGTGAATATTTGATATCAAATTAAACAAGTGAAAAAAACGTTAAGTTTGGCCGGGCCAAACTTTGGATACCCTCCACCATAGGTATACTGATCGTTACTCGAAATGAAAATATAGGGAACATACCATATAACTATACCAACAATAGCACATCATGCTAAATGTTAGGCTAGGCCTAAATGCAGGCCGATTACAAAGATGGCCGAAGGTAGAATGATTACAACATATGGCTAAATCGTCTTAGAATTCCATACTTTCGAGACAAAATTAAAACGCGGAACAAATCAGATAACTGTTTTAATATAAAAGGTTGGTTATATGGGGACTACTAAAAAGGGGAGAATATTAATAATTTTTGGTAGGGAGATTTGTTACCATATACGACTACAAACTACAGCGAATTTGGGCTAACCGAAAATTTGGCCTATATTTATAATTTTGTGGAGAGATTTTCTATACAATAAGAACTCAAAGTATTCCATCGATTATTAAATTTGCACAGATATTACTAGAAACACTATTAGCTGAAATCAGGGACCGACGACGTGACGCAAAAACTTTGTTAAAAAGGAATATGCGTTATATAGAGTAAATAAAAGTGGATCTATAAAAATTGTTTAAATATAATGTGTGTTTATTATCCATATCCCGGAAAGTCGCAGAAATTCAACATCTAGTTTGAAGTACTCTAACAGCAGAGTTTTTGTGAGTGCTCTTAATGCCTGCTCATTTTTGTAGTCGATGTGCACTTTTCCGCACAATTCCTTGGATAATCAAACGTCTTGTTTTGAGTAGAAGCCGTTTAAGTTTTTTTGAACTTACCAATTTGCAGACGCGTCGAAAATCTGGATACTTATTTGCCAGTTCGGTGAAGTCTGGAGGTGTTTTGAATATATTTCGGGGATGCATTGCCCTTCGGATGTTGCTCGTAATTTCTGGCGTTTGTTAGTTTTGAATATTCACTTCATTTCACTTTTCTATGGCAAAAACTATTTTAAAATTTAACTCTTTTATTTTGTATTTCATGTATTTCACTATTATTTTTCCAAACCCCGCGCACGAGAATATGAATTGGCGGACTTTATTTTTTTTTTATTCCAATTGGATCGTACCGTCCCTTTTAATTACAATACCGCTTCTTAAATTTTTGACGGCGTTGCGGAATTGGACGAAATAGCTGTAAGACGTAACTAATAAAACAAGAATCAAAACAAATTAGTGTTATTGTATCTTAGGTCGAAAATCGGACGAAACGAGGAATCAAAACAAATGAAGCGACAAGGCTGTTTATTTACAGACTAAAAAAAAAATTAAAAACGTTCCACCAGCTAACGAATGTGAGGAGAAGACAAAATGGCCGATATAGTCCCCTTTTCCTCAGGCAAACTTTTATTGCCGGACTTTAATCTTTTTCCAATTGGAGCGTTGAATTGGCTGCAGAAACATTGAAAAACGTTCCACTTGTTACGAATGGGATGGGATAAGAAAAATGCCCGATAAAGAAGAAATGGAGGATTGAAAGTTACGAATGAGGTGGGATGGAGACTAAAAGAGAACCGCAGTCAGATAACCGAGCCATACTGATTGCAAATTGAAGTTTGTATCGCATTTAATCACGAATTCTCTTATGGTCTGTTCCCGCACCATAATCTCTGGTTTTATTTTTTAGGGCCTTGGAATATATTTTTAATTTTTTACTGCTATAACGAATTTTCCTTTATGATATCGAAGAAAATAGTAAAATCGAGTAGACTCTTGCAGTACGGGAACAGACCAAAAATTTACACTGTCTCACGAATTCTCTTATGGTCTGTTCCCGCACCACAATCTCTGGTTTATAATGCCATGCTCTCCATGTTCTGACGGGCATTCGAACCCGTTCATTGTTTTTGTATTTTCTAAATTCAAATTTCACATATAAAAATTTGGAGAATTTTTTGTTTGAGTTTCCCCAAATTTGTTTCTTGTTTTGCGCGCTAATTGGAACCATGGGGAAAGCATTATGTAGATAACAAAATTTACATCCTGCTGCATATATAAAAACTAGACAATTTTTTTTACTTTTCATTAATCATTTTCAATTTTACTGAAAAAGTTTTAAAATTTTATATTATTTTTTACTACAATAACGAATTTTCCTTTATGATATCGAAGAAAAAAGTAAGATCTAATAGATTCTTGCAGTAAGGGAACAGACCAATTGTTTAACTTCATATACTAAAAGTAGAGAAATCACATGATATAAAATTGCTTTAACATTAGAATTAAATTAACTAATTAATCTATATGCATCGAGCGACTTTAATTGAATATTTAATGAAAACAGTTGCAACTTTTTTATGGCACAAAAACAGAATCGGTATAGCATAGGTGTTTTGTGGAATTGTGATTTATATTTGTATGGTAAATGACGCAACAGCCTAAATCCAGATTTTTTTATTGCATGTAAGTGTGATTTTGTTGGAATGTAAGTCTGCTTTTCCACAGGCAGATTTTTATTTGGCAAATTTTTTGTTTTCTCTTTTGAAATTTTCGCTTTCTTTTCCATTAGCAAATTTTTCTTTGCCAAATTTGCGAATCAAAATACAAAAGAAAGAAAATAAAAGTCAAAAGTGTTTGCATTTTAAAGATTTTTTGATATTTTATTTATTTTTTATATATGTTATTATATAAATTGCAAAAATTAAAAATTAAATTTCACTTGCACAAATTAAAGCAACAGGTTTGTAAACAAAAGCCGGCTATGTGTCAATAAAGCGAATAGGTTCAAAAGGAAATGTCAACAAAATTGTTTTCAACGAACCAAGGTATATTTAATAAGGTAGCCGCATCGGCCCAGCTGTTGGACAAATAAATGTCAAAAATGTTGTTGTAATGTTGAACCAAAAAATTAAAAAACAAAATTATGAATAAAAATCTCCGAATTTCGAAGAGCTTTTTTGGCAATACTTTTATTAACATTTTCTACAAGAATTTGTGTAAAAAAATCTTGTCAATCTGTTTGTTTTGGCAAAATATTTTTGACATATCAAAATACAATAACCGATGTTTGTTGTAGAAATTCGCCGATGCGGCTACCTTGTATATCTACCTTGGGCAAATTTTTGTTTTTCTTCCTCGCAGACTAATTGATGACAATTGGTCTGTTCCCGTACTGCAAGAATCTACTACTTTTTACTACGATAACTAATTTTCCTTTATGTTATCGAAGAAAATAGTAAAGTCTAGTAGATTCTTGCAGTACGGGAACAGACCAAATATAAATTGCATTAGTAGGTAAAAGTCGAAAATCGATTTTGAGCAGGTTTGATAAAATCGAAAGATCGAACAGTTAACTTTTTAATCGGATTCAAAAACCGAAATAACGACTTTTTGGTCAGAGGCAAAAATCGAAAAGTCGTCTTTTACTCTCGACTACGTACACTAATCGTGCATTCTTTTGATATTGCAAAATTAATTGGTCTGTTCCCGTACTGCGAGAATCTACTAATTTTACTACGATAACGAATTTTCCTTTACGGTATCGAAGAAAATTGTGAAATCTAGTATATTCTTGCAGTAGTGGGGCAGACCATGGCCTATAAATAAGGTCACCAAGGGAGACCAGCTGATTATCGATACCTCTCAAGTTTGCTGTCAAAATGCATTATTGTGAATTGACTTCCATTATGAAAACGTAAACAAAGTCGAAATTTTTGACATTAGGCTTGAGAAAAAACAGCTGTTTTCCGATTTCGATTGCTATCTTGGTGACCTTGGGACAGACCAAGATCTATTAATGGAAGTCAATTCACAATAATGCATTTGGACAGCAAACTTGAGAGGTTTCGATAATCAGCTGGTCTCCCTTGGTGACCTTATTTATAGGCCATGGGACAGACCAAATGTATCAAGTTATCGATAGTCGTTAGAGTTTATTTTATCGATAGACATGTTATAGGAGTACTATCGAATGTTTTGTCATCTCTAGCCAAACATCGTGGGCAAGCGTTTGGATTTGTTCGTCATTTGTATTAAAACAATAAATAATACAACATAATGTCAGAAAACAGCTCAAAGGACACCGTACTTAAAACTGCCATGACGTATATATGTGGAGGTAAGTGAGATGGCTCATTCTGGCTCGTCGACATGGTGCAAAATATCTTCTGTCTAGTAGTTGTGAAATTTTATAATTTCGATTTTTTAATTTTTTTCATTTACTTAATTTACAGAATGCCACCATGAGAATGAAATGCGCCCCCGTGACCCCATCCGTTGTCGTGAATGTGGCTATCGTATCATGTACAAGAAACGCACCAAGAGATGTAAGTTTGATTTTTCTAATTACAAACTGTCGCTAATTGTTTATTATTGTTATTTACAGTGGTTGTGTTTGATGCCCGTTAATCTTCAGAAATCCAATATTTTAGAATAGTATGTAAGAAGTTATTCTATTGAATTAATTTGTATGAATATTTTGTGTACAATGTGATTCAGATTAAAAAGCAAATTAATTCGTATGTCAATTTTGTTTCTTTGTAATTGCTGCTATATTTTTTCTGTAGCTAGGACATGGAATTGAAATGTGTAAACATAATTAAGTTCACAATATGTTTGGATGCAGTGCATCCGAAGTCAATTAATTGTTTGGTTAGATGTGTTTTCAGTCTGAAACTCACATATATAGTAAAAATATTTATGAAATAGGACGAAAAATAAGTTGAAGCTATATATTTTAAAAAATTGACTAGACGTTTGTAAAAGGATAGTATCGAATTCATCCCGTTCGTGTAAGAAATGCGTTCTTCACTTTAATTACAAAATACATTGACAAACATTCCTAAATGCATTCAGATTACATTTTAAGTATGCCTTCAAAGTTAAATCAATTATAAAATTAATATTGTGTGTGTGTGTTGAAACGAATGCATACTTACCAGGGTTTAAAAGGCTAACGCGAAAACTAGCAAAAAACACCTACATTCACTGCTTTGCTTGCTAACTTTATTTTCAAAATAACCAGCACATCCACCGTACCAAGGATGGATAGGTTCACTACGATAATGTACCGCATCGGTACACAAATCATATCATTTTAGCGTTACTGTGTTGCACATGCTAGTGCCCGATGGTACACTATTTGTTTGTATTGCTCCGAGTGGTACATTATCCACTGATAAATTGACATAACAAAATTGATTGGACATAACAAAATTAATATAATTTAGTCAATATGTCAATGCTTTTTAGCGGTTGCTGAGAAAAGCCTGATACGTACAGTTACGTTGCAGTCTGCAAGATTCCATTACATTACCACTCTCATAGTTTAACTATTACTATAATCTTACCTCTTTCATGTCACATTCAAATGCACCATTGTTAATATAATTGTAGGGTGTAGCAAGTAAAACACAAATAAATTAATTGTTTAGGTTTCGCTAATTAATCTTTATTTCAATTTGGATTTTTTGTTTGTTCAAAAGTTGTAGTACTTTTTTGAGATTGACAATATGTATGTATTATGTTTTAATGCTTCGGATTGCAAATTGTTTTTGTTTTTCATAAATTTTAATTGTTTTTTTAAGAATCGTTTGCAATTGAATTAGTTCTCGAACCAGTAACCGTGTTAAATCGAACTATTTGTCATTTAGTGTGTTGTCAGCCAATGGATTAGATTAGTATGGGTGTAGTGTGTACACATTATAAATTAATAAATCGGCATGTACCTGGTTTAGTCATATACATGGTAATATTTCAATTGTAATTAGTATGGCTCTGAAACTTCTGTAAACTAAGAACAGTGTGCTTTTATTAGGATTCATTTGAATCAAACAATATATGAATATAGGACAGACACATGTGAGGGGGATCTGAAATCATACCTAAATTTTCTTCATAAATCGAGTTCTTTAAAATAAATTAAAAAATATAATTATGACTTCTAGAAGATTTCGTTCTTGTAATAAGTACGTAGTTTGTAGGTTCCCATCTAAGATTTTGTGACCCTACCAAAACTTGGTATGCTAGTGTGTTTACGGTTCGATTCAATCAGTTTCTGGGGTTTTTGTTTATTAGTAAAAAGTGCATCGTAATTGATTTAGGCAATTTTGTGAGGAAATCATTACAAAAATTCTATAACGTTAAAGCAAAATGAAGTACAACTCTCGTTTTACTTTTCCTCTTTTGGCATGTTGTCTTCTATTAACGCTAATAATAATTTCCTTCATTTAAATATCGTATATTTTTATATGTTGTTGTTTGTTTGTTTGTTTTTACTTCACTTCAATCAAAGCTCGTATATTATGTTTTAATATGAATTCAGTAAATTATATTTAATTGTTTTTTGTTTTGTTTGGTTTTGTTTTATTTTTTATTTATTTAAAGCTGTTAACGTTAATCCTAATAAGGAGTGGGCTGAACTTATGTAAGCCACAAAACAATTTGCAAAGTCAACAGATTTTCTACGGTAGAAATAGTCAAAACTAAACAAAAAAATGAGTGCGCCGAATTGCCCTTCCCCCATGTCTTAAATTAACATTTCTAAATCGAAATCGATTTTTTTTCTTGCCTTTCAATATTTCTTAATCTAAAATGTAAATTTATGTCTGCTTCCATGGTGCTACAAAAGGTGGTTCATTATGCAGATACAGCCGGAAGTAGTCCAACTAACAATGTCTGTGACGTCACATATTGGAATGACAACTTATTCGGCGATCCTTTTCTCATAGTTTAACAATATGCACCTGCTTTGAGTTCGCTCTGGACACTGTGCACGAACAAATGTACTTTTCTTCAAAATTGTGCTGCACTGTATCGAGAAAAGGAATTACAGTCTAGAATTGTTGGTGTAGCACCGATTTGCTGATATTTGGGTGCAATTTTACGTGGAAGGATACTAGTTGGGACATCATACAATATCATTCAAAACAAATGGATACACAAGGCGATTATAGATGAGGAAATTATTAGTGAGGGTTTGTCGGTCTGTTGCTTGCATTACAAATTCAATAGAAATGAAAACCAACAACGCGTTCAAAATGTTTCTTCTTATTCAACGGGCTGGGCTTCTTTGCGGGTTTTATGTCCACGGAACGAGGCTTGGATTTTGGTAGCCGCCTTATTCAATTCAGGATCACTGAGGTCAATATCCAACTCTTCAGCTACCTTCTTGGTGATCTCTTGAATGTCCACATCTTCGGGCGTATCTTTGGCAACCAGTTTACGTGTCAAATGACCGCGGAAGGTGGCCTGGATTTTCAAAGCGGCCGAGCAAAGTTCTAAAATGACGCAAAAGATATGCAAATTAGAATATAAGTTATGTGTGTAAATTTGTGTATAAGGCAAACGTATGTTAGTAGTTGATAAAAATCTCATAAATCATAATTTAGCATTTTGGTCCAAGGATGTAAAAATTAGAAATTTAGTTTATCTAATATAAAACAATTTTTTAGGAATATCACAAACATGCGAAAGTTTAAATTATTTTAAAGTTTTAATTGTTGTATGATGTTAAGATCATAAAACGGCAGACATAATCGGTATCCACAAACGTTCGCATCATGAAATTTATGTTATCATAAACATTATTAAAAACAAATACACATTTCTCAAAACGAAGATTATTATTATTTATTAAAGACGCAAATTTCAATAAAATAAATAGGATAAATAATAAAATTATCAAATTTAAATTCTTATATTTTATACAGCTGTTTATTACTAAATATTGAATATGTGATATTAATACACTTACTTGGTTTGCCACTTGCCAAATATTGAAATATATTTTAGAATAATACCTTCATTTTTATTTCATGAAATCGTTGTCAAATTGCATTTTTGGAATAAATAAATAAATAATAAAATTATCAAAACAGAGGCTGTTTGCGAATTTCATGGCAAATTTGATATATCTTTTATACATTTTTTGCTCCAACAGTGGCAATTGGCAATGTTGATTAATTATGGTACGCATTCGTGCGTGCAATGTGCGGCAGTTATTCTACAGTATTCTTCGTGGAATATTTTCAGCATTTATTCGCTTGTCATATAAGCTCCATTATCGATTTCAAATTTCGAGGATTTCAACCACCTGACAAATGGTCATACATTGTGCTGAAGGCTTGTAACTAAACATATACATATATCTATTTGAAGACTTAAAGGGGAAGAAAATGCACTGACAAAATGTTACTGTTGTAATAAAAAATAGTCCTTCGTTCGATTCCCAAAATTTCAACGGTAGTCGAAAGAGTATATACATGTGGTATGAACTGGGATTATCAACATTGTGTTAAAATTGGAACCAATTAAGGGAACCCCACCCATTCTCGATTTTAATTTTCCAAGATTTTCAATGGGCTGGTAAATCAATACCAATGCTTATTAAGGTTTGTAACTTTGCACATATATATTTGAAGATTTAAAAGAGAGGAAAAATTGTTTACAAAAAAATTTTGTAATTGTTTTGTTGTTGTTTTTTGTAATTAAATAGAAGCCCTTATTTTTGAAGGGGGGCATGATAACTCCTCACTGGAACATCGGAATCCGAAAATTCCAACGGTGTTAGAAAGAGTACATGTCTGGCTCTCGTATGAACTAGGATTATTGACTTCGCTCTAAAATTAACAAAATGGCGGACATTTGAAAAAATATTTTTGGAAAATCGCTGATTTTTGACCAAAAATCAAGTTAAAAAATAGGGAAGATCTTCACCGATTGGCTTTATCCTAGTTCATACGATAGCTATACACTCACATAGAAACGTGTACAAATTTGGAATCGATTGGGTTATTAGTTTTTGAGTTATCGTGCCCGCCATTCACAAAAGAGAAAAACGCGTTTAAAGTTTTTAGCCGTCACTTGATGCTGACACAATAAATCGGCTATATCTTCAAGAGTTCTTGAGATTTTCACTTGAAATTTTGTAGGGACATTCTTGAATTAGTGTAGATTCGAATTAAATCAAAAAATTTTTGACCCCGAGAATGGGGGGGGGGTCCCCTTAAATTAATAGATTTTGACTTATCGTGCCCGCCATTTGCAAACACACTGTTTTTAGAAAAACACTTTTAACTGTTGAGAGACGCTCTCACTGTCACTAGTCTCTTACAACATGAACCGATTATATCTTCAAGAGTTTTGAAATGTTCACTTTAAACTTTTATATGCCATTCTTGTGTAGTTATAGTTTCAAATAAAATAGAAAAAATTAAAAGGGGGTCCCCTTACATCAAAGATGCGTCCCTTTAATTTCACTGGACTTGTAATGTTAACATTATTGTTGCTCCCGTACTTATATAACATATCAATGCGTATACGTGTGCAATTGAACACAATACGAGAATACATACATACGTCATACGCCCCAGCAACCTTCAACGATCTACTTGCTGGAATGTTAGACTGATTTCGACTTAAATTTCATTGAAGGCTATGTATTGGCTTCCGGCATTTCCTGCTTTTCACTTTTGTTTACAAAACATTTTTGACGTATGTCAAAATTTAGGAAAACAATACATGTTGGTGTATTGTTAACATGCAAGGGTATGTGTGTATGAGTGCGGCGTGTTTTAGTTGATTCTTTCGTGAATCGGACAAATTTTGTTTTCAATCTGTGAATGTTACCAATGTTTTACTTGGTAACAAATGACACATGGTCAAAGATTAGAATGACCATTCTTTTAAATTTTCTTTTTAAATAAAGATATTGGTTGTATATACATATATATGCGTGTATATACATACATATATAATATTTAAAAATGTGTCACAAATCTGGAATATTTTGCACACACGCTGAATTAGTAGTACATTCGCATTATATAATTTACTTGCCCTGTCATAAGTATCAATTAATTGCAATTAACATATACATATTAAGAATATGAAGAACATTTACCATGGAACAAAATCAATATTGTCTAATGGAAATGGAATGTATATACATATGTATGTATGCCAGCTACATTATACTACTACTACTACTCTACAACGCATTCATCAGTTCGTCACCCATCGAAATGTTAAAATGAAGCAAATAAGTAATGGCGAATGCCACCTACATCTAATGCTTATCCATGTGGAAATTGAACGAAAAGTTGTTATCAAATAATTAATGGCGAATGCCACCTACATCTAATGCTTATCCATGTGGAAATTTTATAACATCGGACACCTGCGTCAAATTATACGAACGAAACAAAACTCTATCCTTACTCTCAGAATCAGAGACTAGAAATTATGATGCAATATAGATAATTTCGGATAATTGGTTCAATACCGACTTACTTGATAGAATCAAGTCGGCTCTTAGTCTTTGTCCCTAGTCGCTTTCCAAAATTGCCATCTTAGCCATGCCTTTTATTAAATTATTTTAAAAAGGGAGTGAATGCATCGTTTTCCTTTTTTGTCGTTGACAGTGTATGTATAATCAAGCACCACGACACAAAAAAGTGCATATTCATGCACAAAGTGAAGGACCATCATTCAACGTTAGATAGGGCACAGCAGTTCAGTGTGATAGATTGGAGATAGGTGAACAGTTTTTTGTACCGATAAGCGCCGAATTACGAGTACAAAAACTATTTAAGCAAATATGCTGAATACATATGCGAACATATACGTTTAACGTTTAATTTTCTGATTTCAAAAACTGGAACATCGTTGATGTGCAATGGTTGCGTGCCTTCGAATTCCATATTTTACATATTGTTGTGGAAATCTTTTAGTGTCACTTTTAGCCTAAAGTTAGCTCAACTAAGCGTTTGTTTTGCTTTGCTCAGCTCAGCGAAACAAATTTCTTAAACCCATTTCCTCCGCTCGATGGCTTTTCACAAGTGCAGCATAAGCGAAATAAAATGGAAAATCATGCAAATTTGCACACACGACTACACAGACACATGCGAGTGTGTGTTTTAATGTATGTAGGTGGCTGTAATTGTAATAATGGCTCAAGATATTTTATGCCATGTCGGAATATGACCTCGAAAAATTATTCTTCATTTATTGTGACTGTTCAATCAGGCAGTGTGCCGTAGGCTCTGTTGCAATGGCAATTTCTCTAGCAATGACCGCCTAGACCCGTTTTGTAATTACAACAAGTCTTTCAAGACATTTTCAATTATTTTGAATAATTGTTTGGATGCCGGATTATGGATATAAACTTGTTCGTATTTTTCGGTATTTAATTTAAAGCCTTGAAGTTTACGTAAAGTTTTGCTCTCTTGCCGTTGGAATGTTCATCGGATTGTGGGTGAACGAAAATTAAACTGTCACAGTACGTACATATGTATTTAAGTGTATACTAACGCTTAGCATATGTACCAAGCATAATCATAATAACAATTTTTAGCTTGTAGCATGTTCTTGACCCACAAGGCCTAACAGCAAAAACAACACCACTTCAAACAGTAATACAGGCAATACCAACAACAACAACAACCACCGAGAAATGGCAATTTAAATTAGTCATGTTTAGGTTAGGAAGCTTGAATAACAAGGGAGATGGCCAGGGCAGGGGTCAGCGGAATTTATTTCGAGCAACTTGGTTTTCTTCGGCGAGGAAAATGTTAATAGCCATTTTTGCTTTTGTTCGAACCGGGCCTAGAGAGCAGCTCCATATGACGGATGACAGGATGTAAGGGCGATTGTGTGTGGTGTATTTTTGTGGAGGCCAAATGTTATTTTCATGTTGGCTTTGACGCACACATACATAGACACCAATACATACATATATCACACGCATACAAATAAATAAACTTGTTCGGGGCAAATGATAAATGTTTTCCACTGATGTTGGAGGGCTCGCTGTGGAATGTTGAAAATGTGGTATATTTGCCTTTGTCATGTCGTTTGTTGGGTACATGTGAGTGTATGGCACAGAACCATGACGAACTCAGCCTTGTAGCCATGTTCATTCTTATACACCAACATACACCTAACCAACGAACAAAATAAAAAATGCAGTGTTCCGGCTCCTAAAACGCTGGCTCTTTTCATCTTGAAAATGAAATTACCCGAGAAAGTATTGTCATGGCGTGTTAACAGTCGAATTGATTGCAATTATTTGGTAAATTAAATTATTCACTGCTCCAGGAATAGTAAGTTTGATTTGTTTTTCACATTCAAAATATATATATATATATGTAAGTTTAATCGGTTGATAAGAACTACTATAGGAAAGGAAGCTGTTATCTGAAAATCCGATTGAACTTTAACAATCCCTTATAAGCACTCTGAACAATTCCTTAACATCAAAAACAGTTTTTTTATGTCA